TTTTTAATATTTAAAAAGAAAACAAATTAAGTTGCCAATTGTACTAGGGTTCAAAAAAAGGTTGGAAAATTACTCTCTAAAGGATTTGTAGCAAGCATTTATGTGTCAGATTAAAATTTGACAAACTGGCCTTTGAGGCCTCTTCTAATTTTAAAATTTTACGATTTTAATGTCAAATAAACAAAGAAGCAGTCAGCATGATTTAATGCAGAAGAGGGGCCAAAAATTGTATGGAATGGGCACGAGCCAGTGGTTCGGTCACTGAGACATGACTGACAGTAGTGTCAGAAAAGCAGTGAGGATGAAAGGCAGAGCAAGTGTGACTGCTAGAAAAATAAAGGCTGAATAAGCCATGCACTCCAGAGGAGTAACAATGAGAAGGAAAAAAGAAAAAATAAGATAATTTGGTCATTAAAACTAAGATATAGAAAAACACACATTTGAAAAAAGAGAGCACCAAGAAAAGAACCTTTAGTTATTAAGACAAATGAACACTATTTAACATAGCTCAATATTCATGTATATATTTGACATTTTAGTGAAAAAGAATTCTAAAACCAAGTTTTCACCCATTCAGACATACTATTCTCTCTTTTAGTGTAAATTTTACATTAATTACCATATGCTTTCCCTAGAACAGAAGCTCATCTTAATATTGTGCTTGGTTCAATCTCCCATTCAGTGAAGTAATAAACAAGCAGCCACCCAACTACTTCCTACAGGAAACTTCATTTAAAAGTTATTTATTACCAGTACATAAAGTTCTATAAACACATACTTCAAAATAGCACTGTTCTTGTTACCTAAGAGGAGGTTCTGGAGTTTTATTATTCTTTGGTATTAAATAGAAATTATTTCTTGCACTACTGAAAAAAGTTTTCAGACTCAAAAACAAGCAATGATTATTTAAACCTTCAAAATATTTAACTCTAATTAGTATGAAAGTTAATTCATGTCCAAGCATAAGCTTTTATCATCTACGTTTATCTCAGTTTACTGAGCTAATATTTTGAAACTACACAATCCTATTGAAGTAGAGAATTAAGAGTTCTATTTGAAAGATGTACTCAACTGTATCTTCATCATCGGTTATTTGTGTGGACATGCACATTGCTTTTTCTGCCATGCCAGACTGAAAGAGCTGAAAACAAAGAAAAAAACCCTTTTAAAAATCAATGTAAAAGGCAATTTTCCTACAATATAATTTCATCAATAAGGAGTCTTATATAGACATTATCCCAGGTTTTGGCTTTCAGTCCACACTATTAGTTCGTTTTAAATTGTGGCTGGTTTGAATCATAGATACAGAGATGGCTGTTGGATGGGAGGGGCGTCAGAGAGAAGGGTGAAAAAGGTAAAAGGAATAAGAAGTACAAATTGGTAGTTACAGAAGAGTCATGGGAATGTAAAGTACAGCATAGGGAACAGAGTAGCTAAAAAACATACGCATGACCCATGTAAAGGGACAATGGTAGGGGGATCGCCTGAGGGAGTGGGGGGATGCTGGGCGGAGGGGGGCAAAGAGAGCAAAATTATTACAACTGCATTAACATAAACAATAAAATATAATTTAAAAATAAAAAATAAAAAGACTGTGAGCAGAGGAAAATTATTAATTAACCGTGGCTGTTTTGCTATACGGGTTTCTATGTAGCATATAATATTTAACTCACAACGTACAATATTAGTTAACCATAAATATGCAAAAAGCATCTAAAGAAAGGTTAACTCCCTTCTGAAGTCAAGAGGGCAAAGAACACTCTTCTCTGAAGGGCTCGCTGGGCATGAGAAGGAAAGAGAATTTTGCTTCAAAAACCAGGAAGACATTTAGTAAGTACTTACCTTTCCAGAGTAGATTACCAAGAGCGGCTGGAGGATTAGTGTACCTACTGAAGGAGAATTGGGAAAGCAGAGCTTACAACATTTAAACAAGTCTGTTAAACACCAAACTAAATGAATGATAACTGTCATTTCTGAAGTATTTATTATGCACCTAGTAGTATGCTGAGTGTTCATGTACTTCACCTCCTTTAGTCCTCATGACTGTGCATCAATGAGATACGTGTATTTTCACTGCCATATGCCAGAACAGAAAATTCAGATTCAGAAAAATTACTTACCTGCCCAAGAGTTCAGCTACGCAGCAGACACAGATCTGTACTGACCCCAAAGCTGGTGTTCTTGGTATTTGTAGACCAAATATTCGCTGTGTTTGAAACTGTTTGGAACAAGGGAGGAGAGATACAAGAGAACATGTTGTGCTGATTCATAAGCAGAACTCCCTCTGAAGGACATGCTATCCTACTTTTGAGTACGGCACAAAGATACAGCGAAAATGAGGCACACTTTAAAAGAAAATATTATAGATGGGTATGGCAAAGAGAAAAGCAAACAGAATTAGAGAATGGCTCCGTGTACCACGGTTTCTTCACTTGATATATCCTGAGGATTATCCACTATATACTTTATCTCACTTTTCCCTAATGGTAAGTAGTATCTTCTCATACAGATAGTGTTCTGCTGTATAGTATGGTTTATTCTAGTCTAGTATATATAAAGGTTCTGTATTACTTAGCAGAATGTTAACAGTGAGTATTGCAGTGGTTTTCAGTCTTTAACTGCAATCAACGATAAACATTTAAACCACTGAAAAAGAGTTGCTTCTTGACTTCTTACACTTATCTTTTCTCAGAATTGAAAACAAGTTACTATAAATTCGAGTATTCAGTTTCAGTTATATAGATTCCAAAGTTCTAGAGATCTAATGTACAACATGATGACTACAGTTGATAATAATGTATTGCATACTTAAAATTTTCTACAAGAGTAGATATTAAGTGTTCCTACCCCGCCCCCCCAAATGGTAAATATATGGTGATGGATATGTGACTTAACCTGTTTTGCCTTAAGTAAAGCTCCATCCATTGTTTCTATGCACATAGGTTAATAAGACTTTAAAAAAATTGTTGTTCAAGTACAGTTGTCTCCATTTTCCCCCCACCGCTCTCCCCTGCCCCACCTAAATCCATCTCCCACCCTCAGTTCTATCCCCTTTGGCTTTGTCCATGGGTCCTTTATACATGTTCCTTGACGACCCTAACTCTTCTTTCCCCCACTAGCCCCCTCCCCCCTCACCTCTGGTTACTGTCAGTTTGTTCTCTAATTCAATGTCTCTGTTTATATTTTTGCTTGCTTGTTTGTTTTGTTGATTAGAATCCACTTATAGGTGAGATCATACGGTATTTGTCTTTCATCACCTGGTTTATTGCACTTAGCATAATGCTCTCCAAGACTTTGAAATAAGCTGTAACCACCCTCAAGAGAGCACATTATCTTGTTAACTACACTGTACTCCCATTCCCACATTGCTTCCCTCCACCTCCATGTAATTTTCCTTAGCCCCTCACTTTATCTCAAATGCATAAAAGAAGCTGCAAAATTGTTTTAAATGACTCAACTACAACAGGAGGGCAAACACAACTGACATGAAGGACATTCCTAGAGTGCCTGGCTCAAGTTACCAGAGACTGTGCCCCTGGGCCCCACAGGACACCCACTATACAGGGCCACTCTGCCAAGACCAGGGGATGTAGCAGATCTTCCTAATACATAGAAAAAAACACAAGGATGCAGCCAAAATAAGAAGACAAAGAGACATGCCCCAAATGAAGAATCAGACAAAACTCCAGAAAAATAACTAAATGAAATGAGACAAGGAATCTGAGTTCAAAACACTGGTCATACAAATGTTCAGTGAATTTAGGGGAAGAATAGATGGGCTCGGTTTGAACTTCAACAAATACAGAGGAAAATAAAATGGCAGGAGACTAGCTTTGGGCCCTGGGCCCCCCATCTGGGGACTCTGTGCCTGCACCCGCCAGGCCACTGCCCACTCGCCTTGTGCAGTGAGGCCACGGCTGCAGTGTGCCACCTGGGCCTCTGAGTGATCAATGGGCAGCGGCAGGGGCCTCAATGACAGATCACGGTGAGGAGCAGCACAATGAGCTGGAGGCTCTGGAGTCCATCTACCTGGACTCCTTTACAGTATTATCAGAGAATCCTCCCAGATTCACCATCACTGTGACATCTGAGGCTGGAGAAACTGTTGAAACCATCCAAGCTACCCTCAAGTTTACTTATACTGAGAAATACCCAGACGAAGCTCCTCTTTATAAATAGTCTCCCAGGAAAATCTGGAAGGTAAGAATGTATCAGGCATTTAAAGTTATTAGCATTAATATAGAAGAAAACATGGCATGGTGATGACCACTACTGACAGCTGTGCAAAAAGAATTAAATGAAATAATGGATCAAATAAAAACTAGAAGAGAAGAAACAAAAGGAAAAAGAAGCAGAAGTTGAAAAGCAATTATTTCATGGCACTCCTGCTGCAACTGAGAATTTCTTAAGTTAGAAAGCCAAATTTGATGCAGAACTTTTGGAAATTAAAAAACTAATAAAAATAAAAGAACAAGTAGGGAAAAATGAGTGGGAAACAGCTATTTGAAACAGATTATAATCTTGGCACATCTGACACCCAGTTCTTGGAGGATGTTGGAAACAATGTAGAGGTAAATGAGTCTTTGTTCCAGGAAATGGATGACTTGGAGCTAGAAGATGATGAGGATAATTCAGACTATCATTCTGTCAGAGTGACTTGACCAGTTGACAGACCATCCTCTTCTATAGAGAAGCTTAACTGACATAGCATCTTTGGCTTTACTGAGAGGATGTTGATTTTCCTTTTTTTTCTAAGAAAAACTAATTTTCAGAATATTCTTCTGAAGCTTTCATCAACGAACTTAATAAACTCACCTTTAAGATGCAAAAAATAAAATAAAACTGGCAAGAGAGGGATACTGACAGACTCTAATAGTAAAGATTGGCTCCTGCTGACAGGCAGGAGGAAAGGGACACCCCGGTTCTACAACTACAAGGAACTAAATTCAACCAACAATCTGAATGAGACGAGAAGTATATTTTCCCCCAGAGCCTCCAGAATGCAGTAGAGCCCTGTCGACATCTTAACTTTAGTCTTGCAAGACTCTAAGAGGACCCAGCTGAATGAAACTATTCCTGAATTTTTGCCTTATAGAACTACTAGTGTGTTAATTGTAAACAACAAAGAACCTGCCAAACCATCTACTCACTTTGGATCTTACAGGCAAGCTAAATACAGGTCGGATATTATTATAGTAATTGTGTCAGAAAGCAATGGTCATGAAAATAAGAAAGTTCAAAATGAAAAATCTCATCACAAAGAATTTCTTCACAAAGATAAAAATAAAGATAAGATTGCATCCAAAGTAAGTTTTCTTGGCTCCTGATGAGTCTACATATTATGGATACTGTTTACTGTGTTTGTTTTTTTTATTCAAGAGTCGATGCCAATTTTGAAGTGACTGAAAAATTAGCATTTGTGAATAGTCTGTATACAACTTCAAGAGAGTATATTTTCAAAGAAGTTGAGAAAACCCTAATTCAGTACTCACTGAATGGAACCTGCTAAGCAGGTACTTTGTGGAAAATATTTGAATCTACCATAGGTTATTAAAATAGTAATGTCAATGATGAACTTGTTGTCATGGGTTTAACCATTGTTAGTTTCACAAATTTTCATCAAAAATATAGAAATTAAGTATCCTGATGAACCCTACTACATAGCCAGAAGTTTGACAGATTAAGAGTGGTAAGGTTGTGTGTGCATGTGTATTAAAGTTTTATTAAGATTTGACCTCAGCACCAAGGTCTACATTTTTCTAAACGAGAACTGTCCTCAGTCACTTACCAAATACTGAACGGATTTAGAAATTAGCTTTTTCTGCCAAGTTGATCATGTTTTTTAATGAAGTCAACCTAAAATTACAAGGTAAAACAGCTATAGCATATAACTTGTACTACAGTAAAGTCATTTCAATGACAATTAATATTGTTTGAGTCACAAGTCATGCCAAGCTGCTTTATATACTTGCGGTGTTGTCAAAAGGTAAAACAAGAAGTGAGAGCTCTATCCCCTTGCAAAATTAGCAGAGGATGTACTTTTCAAGCGCAAACTATTGTTCTAATAGCATTTTCAGACCTCTGTGCAAGTGCAAAGGGCATTTCCCTTTTTCAAAATCAATTTAACTGTGCAGCTGAGGAGCTGCTACTTAACCTTTATTTACAATAGGAGTGATTAATCTGACATTTAAGGACATGCTCTCAAGACAATATAATGTAATTTTATAAATGCCTTCCAAGCAATGAATGTTCAGTGTAAATCACGTGCTTATGAACATCAGTATCTGAAGTATCTATATATTTGAAAAGTTTTCAAAGATGGAAATATATAAGATTTCATTACAGACTACCATTAACAGATGAACTTTCGCAATCCATGTTGGTGCTGGAGAGTTAACTTTGAATCCGAATTAAGTAAAATCTTATCCCTGTTAAAAGAATTCCATTCTTCTCATCAGACCTGTGTTGCCAAAAAGTTGAATTCAATCATTATCATTATATTTACAGTTTCGTCGATATAAAAAGGCGGGGGTGGGGGACGGTATTCCAGAACCGAGGAGAGCGGGGTCTTGTCCAGTCGCCTAGGGGTCGGAGCAACACCACCGCGCGGGAGCCCGACAGTCGAACGTTTCTAATAGACAGGGGTTAGGAGAGAGTCCTCGCCACCGCCTCTTCCCTCTCAGTACGCGAAATTCTGGGAGGGTGGCGGGCTAAGTCCCAGGACTCCCAGTTGCGGGCCCAGGAGAAGAGCAGACCTGGGAAAACCGGCGGCAGGTCCGCGCCTGCAGGTGGGAAGCCGTCCGTCCCGGACGCCGCTGGCGCATGCGTATTGGGGAGCCGAAGCCTGCGCCGCGCTGTCGCCATTGCAAGGTTTCCCCACCAGAGCCTACCTGGCGCCAGGGGCTGGTCCAGCCCCAGGGGCCGAGTCACCGGGAGTCATTGGTTCAAGCACCAGAGCACTTATCACCTTCTCCCGCCAGGGTTTGGGCAGGAGGCGGAGCAGCGCAGAGGCGGTGTCAGGGGGCGGAGCAACCGGAGCGCCCTTTGTCCGGTGAGTGCAGCCGCCCCGGGACCCAGCGGCGGGCTCGGGAAGGGCAGGCAGGTCCGCGGGCACCCCGGGCGCGGAAGCCGCCACTGCGCCTGGACTCGGATCCCCTCAGTGGCGCCCCAGGCTTCTCCGATACCCTGTGTCCTTTGTTGGATAAGGTCTTCCTCAACCAAAGATTTTAAATGTGTTTTCCTCTGATCTCTTCTGCAATTTATTTTTGTGTAGGCGTGGGTGGGTATCATGTTTTGGAAATTCCCCTCAAGTCAAGATTATTAAAACATTCACCATTATTTTCTTCAAATACTTATAAAGGATTTAAAAAAACACCTTTTTTACATTTTTACTTATGTTTTATTGGGAATTATTTAAGGGTCTGAGACTTTGCAATTGGAAACACAGCTAGGCAAAAATCCAGAACTGTCCCAAAGAAGAAAGAAAAGTTAAAAGTTCTTATAGAAAAAAAGGACATTGGAGAAAAATTTTCAACCCTTCATTCTTAACCGTAGCGTTGCCCCAGAACAGCTTATCCGTCAGATGACAGGCAGGATGAGGATGCCAGGTGATCAGGAAGAAGGTGAGGGTCATGAGGTCTGGTTATGTCACATGGTCTGGATAATAGATGTCAAGTGGATGCATATGTGAGTCCTTCAGAGAATAATTAGGAGATCTGAATAAATAATTTTTTCACGTATAAAGGGTTATCCGGAGGTCCAGAGGTACCGTAGTTTGGCCTGTATAATGCACACCCATGGTTTTGGCCCCAACTCCCAAGAAATAAATCTTTTGTTTTAATTTTAATTCAATGTTTTATTTATATTTACTTGTTTTGTATTATAAAGGAATTCTAGCATTTATTTTTTAACATATTGTGGTACAAGAAATTGTATGTAACAAATAATTACAAAACACAAGAGCAGATACAAGGTATTTCAGGCACTGCCCATATATAATGCACACCCTTATTCTTACCTCAAAAATTTGTACAAAAAAGTGCACAGTATACACAGCAAAATATAGGTATATCCAGGTATTGATGCAGGACTGGACAGTTCAAAAGCTCTTAAGTTCCAGGCTAGTTAGAACAAGAAGAGCCTTTCCTCATGCCTAAACACTTGTAATGTTAATAATTTTAGTAGCTTAGTTAAAGTGACTCTATCTTTTATATTCCCTGTCATCACACCTTCCTTACTGTCATCTATTAAGTTATTCTCCCACTAAGTTGAAATGACATTATATTCTGTAGGTAGGTATATACTCAGGCTTGTTTGTAAATATATATTAATTTAATCCTCACCCAAGAATATTTTTTATTATTTATTTTAGAGAGAGAGAACATCTTCCAATTTCCCTTCTGTATCTGCCCCGTGACCGGGCGTCAAACGCACAGCACAGCGTAGGTATGTGTCCTGACCGGGAGTCAAACCCCGCAACCTTTTGGTGATCAGACGACCCTCCAACCAACTGAGCCACCGGCCAGAGCCAGACCTGTTTTAAGACTGTTTCTTTCTCTACTCTGAAATTTCACAATTTCTGCGCTAATACCATTTCATTTTAATTTAAAATATTTTTAATAATGTAGTGTAGCAAACTCCCCTTAACTATACCCTTGGACATATAATCTTTGTTTAACTTATAAATTGTGTGAAATGTAAAACATACAAAAATTATATTTTTCTAAGAGACAGATTTGATGATGGTACTTAGCAGGTAGATAGTTATGTTTGTTGAAAATCTTTCTATTGTTGAAAACTTACGTGGTTCCCTGTTGCCTTCAGGATAATGCTTTAGTTTTTTAGCAGTGCTTTCGAAGCCCTTTATCATTTTAATATTGCATACTGCTTTGCCTTCTACCCTTGCACTCTCTCTAGCCATCCCAAGCTACTCAAACAGGACACACAACACTCTGGGAAAACTCATGAACTGGATTATATCAAAAATTTTAATTCAAGTATTTTAAAAGAACAAAAGCCTAAAAATAAGAGACATGAAGAAAATATTTGCAACGTATGTAAGAGATAAAGGATTAATGTTTATAATATGTAAAGAACATTTGTTAACAACAAAAAAGAAAGTAGGCAAAGGATACACAACATTTTATAGACGAAATACAGCTAATGAATGAACAAAAATAAAGCTTAACCTTGTAAGTAATCATAGAATGCAAATGAAGACAAAGATATTTTTCACCCACTAGACTGACAAAATATAAATAATTATATTAATGATACAAAGTGTTGAGGAAAATGGGGGTGGGAGAAAGAAGGGCACCAGCTCTAAAATTGAAGAAGATCATTTTGAGTGGGAATTTGACTATACCTATGAAAATGTTCAATGAATTTAGTCTGTGTCTGAGAAATTCCACTGTAGCATCTGGTATGCAGAAATACTCGCACAGGTACAGAAGGATATATGTACAAAGATGTTTATTGCAGTATTATTTCTAATTGTGAGAAACCATACAGTGGAATAATACTATGTTGCTATATAATACAATAAGGTAGTTTATTATCAAGTTAACAGACAGGGAAAGAGCTCTAAGATGTTTAGTGAGTAAAGGACGTTGCAGAACAATGCACATAGTCTGGTGTGTATTATGTTAAATATGTATGTGGTTATATATGTTTGTAAATGCACAGAAAAACATGTAGAAAAAGTGACAGTGAGTTACCTCCAGGGAGGAAAGTAGAAGAGTTGAAGGGTAGTAACATTTTACTCTGTATATTCTCATGTTTTGTGTACTCATGTTTACATGTAGAATGTGTAAATCACTTGTTAACGTGTATAACTGTAAGAAAAAAAACAAAACAAAAACCCTCTCACACATTAAGGGACTAAAACCTGGATTTTATAATGCAGAAAAAATTTTAAATTAGCTCTTTTTTAAAAGCAGCAAAATAAAATGCAAATGATAAAATGGAGGCTATAATTGTTATTTATGTTATGATGAGGGAGTTTTTGGTTACTATTTATGTTCAAGGGTACTCAAGACAACCCTCAAGGTCAATGCTTTGCTGGAAAAACTCCACAACTCAAGGAAACTATTATAATTACAATAACAAGTATTACAGTGAAAGGATACAGATTAAAATCAGTGATGAAATAGGGCGGGGTCCAGCAGAGGCCAGGTGCAAGCTTTCAGTTGTCCTCTCTCAAATAGAGTTGTATAGATAGGGCTTAACCCTGCCGAGGTCACCGTCCAAAAATTATAGTGTAGGTCACACTATAATTTTACCTGAGTAAAATGACTGTACCGAGAGGTATAGTCATTGCTAGTATGTGCTGAAATATGAAAAAATAAAATAAAAAGCACTGTAAATTTGCATTTATTTACGTAATAAAATACAATATTTTTAATTTATTTTCAGCTACAATCTAGAAATTATTAAAGAAATATAAAAACAAAGAATAAAAAGTTTTCTTTTCAGAAAATGGAGACACGGATGTGCTGAAAAATACAACCAAAAAAAGTCTTTAACATTAATCAATCAGAATCTTCAATAGTTGTCCTTGCAAAATGCTTGTAACAGTCATCACAAACAATATTGCTGTGCTCAAGGTATACATTTACTCTTTACAACACTTGCAAAAATATTTTGATAAGTGGCTTGTTTTGGATGCATAGCGCCTAACACATCTTTTTCTTTTTTTGCTTGTTGAGGGAGCCATATCTATGTTGTCAGAATTTTCTTCAATTTGTGTTAGTCATGTACAAATGTGCATCTAGTCATGACCTTGAACCTATGCACCCAATATATGTAACAATACTTAAGAAAAGAGTCTGTTTGTCTCAGATCAGCCACGACCTCCACAGGGTTAATTCTCCCAGCAATAACGTGATAATGTATATGCAGTATTGCCTATCAGGGAAGCTCATCCAAGTCATGGCATCCAGAATATTTACTGGAAGTCGGTCATGTGAGCATGGCTGACCATCGTGTTAGCCCCTTCAGAGGGCAAGCTGATTCCACTTGGCGCAAGGTTTCCACCATTAATCCCATTATTAGCATAAACTTTCTGACCTGTCCTAAAGCCTCAAGTAAACAGAGATGGTTTTAACAGGCAGGATGTTCCAAGAGCTTCATAGGTTATCTGCCAGGGGTCCAGGAGTGAGGCCAGGGTCAAACCTTTCCTTGAAATGTGCAGAATTTGGACCTGCTCAGTTAATCCATCATGGCATAGTATACTCTTACAAATCAATAAGAAAAAGACAGTATGGTAGAAAAGTAGACAAATGACATGGAAGGGTAATTTATAAAAGAAAAAATATAAAGGCTAAAAATATAAAAAGCTCTGCCTCACATGTTATCTAAGAATTGCATGTTAAAGCAGCAGTTTAACACTATTTATATATTAGATTTTTTTAAATCCTTACTCAAAGACATGCTTATTGATTTTAGAGAGGGAGAAAGGGAGGGAGAGAGGTAAGGAAACAATGACGTGAAAGAGAAACATTGATCTCATACTTGCCCTGATTAGGGACCAAACCTGCAACCCAGGCATGTGCCATGACTGGGAATTGAACCTGTGACCTTCAGTTCACAGACAACATTCCAACCAACTGAGCCACACTGGCCAAAGCTATGTATTATATTTTAAAAGAATGTCTAACACTGGCTAATGGTCACTCTCATATACTGCTGATGCAGGTTTACCAACAGTATATGAGATATACTGGCTGAGCAGTTTCTGGCCAGTAGTTTCACTTCTAAAAAATTATCCTAAGGAAATAAACAAACAAAATTTTGCTAAAACTGTGAAAGGGAATAAGGGACCAACCAAGCAAGCAAGACCTGGCCAGTATGGCTCAGTTGGTTGAGCATCATTCTGCAAACCGAAAGATTGCCTGTTACATTCCTGGTTGAGACTCATGCCTGGGTTGCTGGTTTGATCCTGAGTCAGGATGCACATACAGTGCCACCCACTGATGTGTCTCTCACATCCGTGTTTCTCTCCCTCTCCTTCTCCCTTCCTTCCTTTCTCTCTAAAACAAAAAATAAAATTTAAAAGAAAGAAAAAACCTAAATGTCTTAATAATTCATTTGTTTTAAAAATTTGGCTATTTCATGCAATGGAATATACAGTGAATCTATTTTTAATGAATATTTAGATTTTGTTTTCTGTCATGAAGTGACACAATTTAATCAATTAAAATCAGGTTTAAAAAAGAAAATTATGCATATAATAATGACATATGCCATATAATAATGTGTGTATGCATAGTAAAACCTGAAAGGATATACTCCCCATATGTAACCAACCCGTTATTTCCAAGTAATGACATTATAGTTTATTTTCTCTGTGCTTTTCTGTATTTAGTAAAACTCCTTCTAACATTTGTCAGTAAATAAAATGAAGGTTTTTCTATAGTAGAGAAGGAGTGTGGAAAAAGATCACTCTGAGAGCTGAGTGAAAAAAAATATTGGACTAACATCAGAACCAGTTAGTTGGGTGTGGCACTAATTTCAGTGAGAGATGATAGTGGCCTGAATCAAGGTAATGGAAGTGAAGATAGAACTTTCCCTGCATATTTAAGAGGGTAGATTTATAAGGATTTGACTTTTGTTGGGGGGGAGAAAATAAGAGAAAGAATGGGAAGTCAGGGATGGCATTCAGGTTTCAGGTTTGATGGTGCTATTGATTGAGATAGAGACAATGATAGAAGAGTAAGAATAATATGTAATGTATAAATACAGCTAACTGTGCACTATGTTCTAAATATTTACAAATATTTACTCCCTTAATCTTTACAACTGCAAGTAGGTACTGTTATTCCCAGTTTTACAGGTGAGGAAATTGAAGCATAAAGTTGAGTAACCCAACCAAACTGACACAGGTAGCAAGTTGTGGAGTCAGGAATCAAAACCCAATCAGTCTGGCATACTTCATGGTGAAGAGCTGGCAAGAGATTTAAGAGAGAATGAGTTTTGAACATGTTCAGCTTAAGAAATCTGAGAGACATCTACATGGGGATGTCCAGTAAGGTGGTTAAGTATGCATATGGTTATGTAGCTCAGAAAAGGTGATCAATGAAGCTATGGCAATGGGTAAAGCCACCTGAGAGCAGAAAGAATAAAAACAGAACAAATGCAAACACAAATGGTCTTAAGTATATTATGAATGAATGACATAATCACACTGAAGGAAATGGGAAAAAACCCTAAATAACTTCAGGAAATAATATGTTGACTGGATATTATAAGTCTAAATATAAAGGGAACTCTACATAAATATAATCAAGTAGTAAATATGTTTGTCACAGGGGTATGAGTTAGAAAATTTGAAGTTGCTTAAATGTATACCAAAATTGAGCAAAGAAGTAACTATATTGTAGGTAATGACAGCCAACAATTCTTCCCTGTTGAAGAAAGAAGTTACCAATGAGGAAAAAAGGAAGACT